TCTTTGTTTCTTAAAATCATAACTACGGCTTATGTCTGAAGTTTTCAGCCAACAACAGCTTCTTTTTAAAGCTCAAATGCCCCATCTTTGGATCATAGGGCTACTTTTGAGTTGGTTTCTGGTCCCTTTTGGCATGGCTTAATAACTTTTTCTAGATTCTTTGATATCAGGTGTTTCAAGTTTGTTGTATATTTCATACCTCAGACATGTATCGAATCTGTTTTTTTCCCAAAAGTCCTGCTTTCTGTAGTAAGAACTATTAATATAATTCCAAGTCCACCGTCCAGATGTTAATTCTTAGCACTGCTGGGATAGTTACTCTGCCTGAGACTTTACCTGTTGCCTACTTGTTGTAGATAAAATTTTACAAGTGAAAATGATCAGATTCATATTTCTAATTAAAATTCAGGACTGTGAGTGGTTTTTGTTTTCATTTTTGTTTTACTGCTCTTTTCAAATCTGGATCTCTTCGTCTTCCTATGAAGATTCCTGCTTAAACGGGACATCATAGATTAGCACTTTAATCAGTTTGGATTATGATAACAGCATACTCTAAAATGATTAGATTGTAATCAATTAAAATTTACTTTTCACACTTCTGGAGGGAGACAAGTCCATGAAGGCTGTGCCAACAGTTTGGGCATATGGCAAGGGTCTATCTGTTTGCTCACAGAAGACCTTCTGTGCCCTCATGTGGTAGAAGGGTGATCCAGGCTCCCTGGGCTCCTCTAACGAGGGCAATGCTCCTACTGAACACTCTCCTCTCAGGCCGTAACCACTGCACAATGGTGCTACTTGAGGACATTTTGTATAGCTTCCTAGGTCTACATACAAATCTGGTGGAGACACCAACACTCAGATCATCGTAGATGGAATATCTCAGATTCGTTTACTTCATGGTACATTATTTATACAAAAAGATCAGAATAACAATACAAAAATACCCTTCACTGACCCGCGGGCATTGCTGTCTTGTCTGGGACGCCCACAACAATGCCCCTATCATGCTCTCTTTTGACTTTGACTAGTATTGATCCTTCAGGTAAACTTGATCTTTACCATATCAACCAGCCACCACAGTGAGGTCTTTCTGGTCATCTTAAATACCTGAAATGCATCCTCTAATCAATCCTTCATGAGGAACTAATAAGAACAATATCCTCCTCTCTTTTAAATATTAATATAAGTATTGTTCTGTCATGTGGGCTCACATTTTAGTCCTTGGGTCTCTTAGCTATGTTCTTCCATTTTCTTCTAAAATATTGTCAACTCTGATGATAATTTAGTTTTCTAACCCTTCTAAATTACTTGCTGACTCCCAACAGAATCCTTTCTTTTTCTGTAAAGCTTACTCATTTTTCTGTCAATCTCTTCTGCATTAGTGTTATAATCCTCTTGCCCCAGAATCCCAAGTGCTAGGTTTTAATGTGTGTCATCATGTCTGACTCTGGAATGAAATTTTGGTGTTGGCTGTTCTGGGTCAATAGTCTAAGTTATTTGCTGCACTTTTTCAACACGTGGATTCATATTTATTTTTCCTTAAGGAACGTTTTTAAATATAGATTATATTTCTTATGTCTGTGTTGTCCCTTTTGCCTGACTTCATTGGTGACATCAGTTATCTATGGGTGACTTCTACTTATATCATTTCTTTTCATTCGATTTTTGAAAAATTAAAACTGGCCTCTTTATGCCCTATGTTTCTCTTAAGCCAGAATCTGTATTATTTTGTTTGTTGTTATTTTTCTTCTGGTTCGTGTTCGTTTCTGAAATGATTTTTCTTTTATTTCTAAATATCTCCTAGTTCTGTTACAATCACTGAGTTTCTGAATTTCATATTAATGTCACCATGGTGTGAATTCTTTTCTTAATGCATCTGAGCTTATATTGAATTAGAAAATTAAGCTTTGATTTGTTCTGTGGACGTGGCTTCCTGGTATATGATGAGATATTTGGCTTTTCTTTTCCCCCAGCAATAACTTTGTTGGATGTGCTGGCCCATGCCTGAAAAGCCAGTACTCGAGAGGCAGAAAGATTGCAGGTTCAGAGTCTGCCAAGGCTACAAAGAGCCACCCTGTCTCAAAACAACAAACAAACAAACAAACAAAAATCCCAGAACTGGGGATGTAGCTTAGAGACAGATCAGTTGCCCATCATGAATGCACTAAAGTCAGGGGCTCTGTCTCCAATTCAAAAAAATCAGCAGAATACTCTCATCCCTGATATGGGAAGTCCTTCTGTATATGTATTGCTTTTATTGCTTAATGAATAAAGCTGCTTTGGTTTATGGCAGGGCAGAATATAGACAGACTGGAAGAAATAGAGAGAGAGAGAGGAGGCAGAGTCAGGGAGACACCATGTAGCTGCTGAAGGAGGCAGATGCCATGTAGCTGCCCAAAAAACAAGAGGTTAAGAACCACAAACCTCGTGATAAATTATAAAATTGGATTAATTTAAGATGTAATAGTTAGCTAGAAATATGCCCGAGACATCAGCCAAACAGTGCTTTAATTAATATAGTTTCTGTGTGATTGTTCGAGTCTGGGCAGCTGGGAAATGGACGAGCTGTCTCCATTTACAAAATAGTGCTGACATGGGCCAACGACATCCACATAAAACCTGAGACAGCTTAGGAAGCAATTCTAGACATAAAAGAACAGAGTTAAGCACGATTTCTGGGTAGCAGCATCTTCTCGGGTGGGCTCTGTTTGCTAGAGGCAGGCAGAGATTCCTTTAAGAGCCGGCTTCCTGGTTCATGCTGGCAGCAAGAACTCTGGCTCATTCAGGAGGTCCTGCATTAAATGGGGTTTGTGAGCAGAGTGCTCCAAGTTGCTTAATGGCAACATAGACATGCTGCATCCCTGGTGCTGGGGTGAGAACATGGCTCGCAGAGGCAGTAAACATACCTCCACCATGTTGAACAGGGAAGAACCAATGCAGAGTTGGTCCTACCCATACCCATGGTCAAATGATTACAGATATTCACTAAAGACAGATTCAGACTAAACAAACCTTTGAACGGGACACAGTATGTTTAATAAACGTACATAGGCTTGGGAGAGAGAAGAAAAAGAGTATAAAGAGTTATAAAAATAAGTAGTGTCTTTAAAGACACAGTAAAAGTAATATAAAAGATTACAGACAGTCATAGACTAAAAGAGTAAAGAAAAATAAGCCACATAAAGATGGAATATACACAGAGGGTCTGGATTATACATAGTAATGTGTTTTCTTTGAATTTTTTGACTGTGAATGAGCTAAGTACAGAGAGATATTTCATTGTATGGGCTGCTAAGCTAAACCAACATATATATTTTAAAGGTATCTTGACTTCAAAATTTTAGTCTAAGGATATGCTACTTTGAAAAAGAGATTTTGCGTTTGTTTCCACAGAATACCAGAATCTGTGGATTCCTTCCAGGGTAATGTTGTTTGATGGAACAAGACCTCCCCCCGAAAGGAACCTTAAAAATACTTTGCCCAACACACAACAGAAAGCAGTTTGGAGAAAACTACATCAAAATTCCCAAAATGATTGTTTATAAATGTTTGTTTTCATTTAAAAGGGGATATAATATAGAGAGGAATACTTGGTCTATTGATAAAAATTTAAGGTTGATTTGCTACACTGTGTATATATGTTTCTATTCTTGTTTAAGGTCTCGTGTTTGTATGGCTCATTTAAAAATACAAGGTATAGTTAAATATTACAGATTAATAGATAGTCATCTTTAATATTCAGAGATATATTAGGTAGCTAATCAACACCTCAACATCCCAAAGACCTACAGAATATGACATTTAAAATGTATTAAGAACTTAGAGTTTTCTCAACAATAAGACATGTCTGCTTCTGGCAGTACCAATTACTTCAGAGAGGTTGATGGGCATTGAAGAAACCCATTATGGAATTTGCCTTCAGTGTGACAAGGCTAGTCATTTGGGTTAGAAATGACTCTTGCTTAGACTGTTTGATAGTATGCTGTATGAACTGGACATGCCGAAGCCACAGAAAAGGGCCTGTTTACTTATAGCACCCAGGACCTGCAGTCCAGGGGTGTCACCACACACAAAGAACTGAGTCCTCCCCATCAATCATCAGTCAAGAAAATGGCCCTAGTGTTTGCCCACAGGACAGTCTGGCAGGGCCATTTTCTCAAACGAGACTCTCTCTTCCCAAATGACGCTAGCTAGCTGGTGTCAATTTGACACAAAACTAGCCAGCGCACCTTATATTTTCCCTTCTAATTCATTTTATCTGGAAAAGTTTGTGCAATCTACTGAACTGCTTGTACAGCTCCTACGGGGCGCACTTCAAAGTTCTTGGAGGCGAAATGGAGGAAAGATAAGAAAAAGGAAGTAAAACCATTTGAAGTGCAGACAGGCCAGGCCAGCTAATATTCAAAGCAAGACGGACAGTGGGGTAAGCCTAAACTTCACTGAAAATTGCCTACAAATTTCTCAGGAGAGGGATTTGGGTTTCTGATTTGCGTTAGTGACTCTTCTATCTCTGATAGAAGGAGGAGACGCAAAGCAAGGGTGGACACAGATTCCATTTGGGAGTAACTTTGCAGACTATCAAGAAACGAGTAGGTAACTGGACAGGAGGAGTGGAGCTCAAGAAGGCAGAAGAAAGAAGAGGCATGACTGTTGGGTGTCTGAGCATTAACTGAAGCTAAGAGCGCTGGGGCAGAGTGCAGAGAGGGAGATCAGAGGCCCGGGAAAGAATACTTAAACAGGTCTGCCTCAGAGAGGGGGGGGGGCCGATAAAGAGAAGCCCACAACAGAAACTGAGAAGCGCAGCAAAAGGGTAGTGAGCGCCACAGAAGCCACAAGGGGAACTTCCCAGGGAGGGAACGCTGAAGAAAGGCCGGGTAAGAGGATTCAGTGGGTAAGATATGACGAACTGGGAGTTAGTTACAAAGGCAAGAAGGGTGGCTTAGAGAGCAATCATGGGGCAAGGGGACACCTTCAGGTATGTCCCAGGCAGCAGGTAAAGAGGAGGGTGACAAGTCCAAGAAGACAGACCTCCTGCCGTTTCCCTGGAGGGGGCTGGCACACAGGAAACCTGCAGTTTTATAGAACTGTGTTCTGCCATTCAGCACTAGTCTGTGGCTGTGCAGTGAAGGGTGTTGACTCAGGACACCAAGCAGAAAGCCACCTGTTCTCCCAGACACACTTATACGGGGCAAGATGAGGAGGCAGCTTACTCAACTGCTGACTACCAGAGTCTTTACCTAACAGTAGTTCCTGCGGTTGCACCAGCAGAAACTACCTTGGGGGGGCTGAGGGCCGTAGGCAGAGGCCACTCGTCAGCTCAGGGGTCTGCAGCCACTACCAGCTCATTCCTCTCGGTTCCTTATTAAGCTGCTTGTGTTCCCGGCTTCTCTAAGGTTCTCTGAACATCTTACCACCATCCTGTTTTCATTGTGTTGAGCCCATTCTTAATCCGTCCTTCTATGGGTTGCTGCAACGATAAAGCACCGCGACCCAAGCAACATTTGAAAGAACGAGTTTAGTTGAGTTGACAGTTTCAGAGGGGGCAGTCTATAATGGGGGAGCAAGGCAGACGGTTGGAGCAGCAGCTAAGAGCTCACATCTCATAGGCAGGATGCAGAGAGCTCAGGAAGACCAACTCAGTGCAGGAAGCTGGAGCAGTACATGAGCTGATGCAGAGGCCATGGAGGGATGCTGCTCACTGGCTTGCTCTCCCAGGCTTGCTCAGCCGGCTTTCTTATGGCAGCCAGGACACACCTTCTTCTGTGCCAGGTCTGTGCACTAACCCCTTCTCACAAAGAGCTGCCATGGTGGATGAAGGCCCTATCAGCCCCACTCTGCTCGCCTTTGGAAAGGTTATTTCTGTTTACGGTCACATCCAGGGGTGCTGGAGACCCGGATTTCAATACATGAATGGTGACATTACAGTCAGCCACCGACACCAAATAGGCCTACATTTTAAAAATCAAATACAGTGACACAGTAAGTGTGTTGGTTAATGTTCTGTTGCTGTGAAGAACACTATGACCACAGCAGCTCTTACAGAGGAAGGCATTTCATTGGGGCTGGCTTACAGATTCACAGGTTGAGTTCATTGACGTCATGGTGGGACCCAGTGGCAGGCAGGCAGACATGGTGCTGGAGAGCCAGTTGAGAGTTCTACATCTGGAGAGGCAGGCAGCAGGAAGAGAGACACAGGGCCTCTCTTGAACATTTGAAAGCCCAAATCCCACCCCTAGTGACACATGTCCGTCAACAAGGTCACATCTAATCCCCCTCAAGAGTGCCGCTCCCTAATAATCATGCATTTAGATCTATGAACCCGTGGAGGCCATTCCTATTCAAACTACCAAAATAAGTATTGCAATTAATAGCACACTATCTTTATGACATGATAAACTCAGCTCCTTTAGCATCCCACAGGCAGTCAAATCTTGTATTTTTGCCATTTCTGAAACATCTTAAAGACTAACAAAGTTTTGTTTTTATTTTATTTTCATTTTTTTATTCCTTGGTATGTGTACTGGGTTATGTGTATGGGATATGTACTTTTAAGTATTGGTGTGTGCACATATATATGCACATGTGTGCGCATGTTTATAGAGGCCTAAGGTCAACCCCAGATAGCTTTCCTTAATTGTGCTTTACTTTTCTTCTGTGAGGTTTGTTGCTGAACCTGAAGCTTGCTCAATCTGGCTGGCTAGTCGTGGATCTTACCTCTCCAACGCTGGGCTAAAGACATTCAGTACAACCCCTGTATTTTACATGGATCCTAGAAATCAGAACTCAGGATCCTTTACCAATTAAACCATGTCCCCAGGCCACTTTGTTTTGTGCTAAATAAGAGGACCATCATCTGATTTTACTGTGTATTATACCCCTTTGCCATTAACTTCATGTCGGGCAGGCGGGAAATTGCCAAGTCGCCATACAGCCACATGGCAGGCCAGTCAAACAGTGTGCAGCTGCACGCCAGAGGGGTAGTTCAACTGTGTTGGGTGGGAGAAGGCTGCAGACCTTCTGGGCAGGGTCCAGTAATGGCATGGACTCTGGCCACGTGGACACCAAACTGTTACAGTACAATAGAGTACCATACTAGCCCAGAATGGAGTAAAACAAAGGTAATTTATTAGGGGATAAATTCACAGAGAGAGTAGTGATCTGTAGTCCTCTGCATGTGCTGGGAACTGGAACTGAACCCAGCAGTGAAGGGACCCATGCATGCTTTTACCTCTGCATTTATAGTACACGAGAGCACACCCAAAGTGGGCAAGTATCTTAAAGGCTATTGGCTGAAGGAGTTCCCACAGCAAAACATCTGCGTTAAAAGATAGATTTTAAAGGTAAAGGAGATGAGAGAGACAAAAAATCTGGGATAGGATTGGCTGAAAGAAAAGAGAAAATCCCAACTTTCTTTTCTCTGTCTGGACACTCGGCTGGCAGCAAGCTCATCTGAAATAGTTCAAAGGGATAGAGGCCAGGCCAGCAGAGATGGGAGGAGTGGTTCCTCAGCCAGGGTCTGCCCCATGAAGCTTCCTTTCCTGCCAACCAGGAAACTCAGAGACTCAGTGATTCCCCACCACCACCACCACCTTCCTACCTGTCCACAGACCAGAACAGTAGTGCCTGAGTGGGGCGGCTGCTTCACGTCTCCATCCACTCAGTTACTTAACTTCTGCCCCTGGGATTCCCACACCCCTCCTACATCAGCAGGGTGCTGTGGATTAAGACCAACACCCTTGCATGTATCCATGTTTGGGCTTGTGTTGTTGGCGTGGTTAAGTCGGCACCTTCTGTAGCTCAGACCAGTGACGAACTCCCTAGGAGCTGAGGCCAGCGGCGTTAACCTGACCCACAAGCCTCTGCTTCCCCGGGGCTGGGATTACAGCTGTGTACTTCCACATCACGCCCAGGCGTGCTTCTGATTTATTGCTTGGTTCATCAAACTGTGTGGACTCCAGGGCCAAGTCCTTCTGAGTTCGCTGTGCCTAACTACATAGCATGTAGGAGTTCATCAACACGTACTATGGCTCCCTGTCTACTTGGTGTTCCTGTGCTCTTTCAGACTTGAATGGGGGTAGGATTTGACATCCCCTGTCCAGTTAGAAGGGTGGCACTCTCTTCCTGGGCTGTTAAAGCTCATTTTGGATGGAAACTCTAAGCTCACCTTCCGTGTCCTACATGTGCGCAGAGGCAACTCGGAGGTCACTCTGACAAGAGGGGACGGGCAGAAAAAGGGCTCCGCCAAAGGCACCAGAGTGGGCACCATCAATTATCAGCCTGAAAAACAAAACAAAACAACACCCCCCACACAGGTCAGAAATAAATCATCATGTTAAGCCTTTAGACCAACCATCTTGGTAAGGGCGCCTGAACAGCCGGGCTCGGCTTCAGTTTTGACACCCAGCGTTCTAAGGCTTTTGAAAAATGCGTGGACTGTTTCCTTAAGCTATTCGCATGCAAAGTTGCCAGAGCTGCTTTCTCCACCCGCCCACACATACCTGCCCTCCGCAGGGCGGGCAGGCGCTGACTCAGCGCCCAGCCTCCTCCCACGCCTGCTGACTTAGTGACCCGCACCCACTTCCCACAAACCCACAGGCTCCTCTCCCTCACACAGGTACAAATATTCACACTCCCACTGCTCAGCAGACGTGTTCCCCCCCCCCCAATGATCATTATGTTTCTTTTTTATTCACAAACAAGCTTGACGCAGCACAATGGAGTTATTTATTCTTAAACTGGTTTCTCAAAACTCCCTCATATTCAAAATAGGATTTTTCTATTTTTGAAAACACCAAAACGTATATACACTGAGCGTTGAACCTTTTATTTTTTTCTTCAGGAAGAACAGATGCCCTAAGGTTCGTCCAGATTAAAATATTGTACTCACATTTTGCAGCAAAGCCTGCACCTACGAGACACGGGCTCAGTGAGTGGGTGGGGTGGGTATTTGCCATGAGGGTGTTTGAGCTACAGCTGGCATCTGCAGGCTGCCTGACAAGATTAATTGGCAGCCAACTAAACCAGTACCCTCCAGAGCCAACACCCGAGAGGAGCACCAGCCCACTTGTCAAGCCCTGCCAAAGCCTCCGGATCGGTGGAGCGTGGGCTGGGGGAAGGTAGGGAGGCGAGTCTCTGCTGCCTTTGTGATTTTAAGGCTAGTGGAAGGGCCTCCCCCATTCGCGGCAACGACTGTCTTCTTTCTTGTGTGTATGTATGATATCTGTGTGTCGCGCCGTGGGCACATCCATGTGCCAAGGTAAGGGGACAACCCCCAGCATGTGTCACCTTCCACATTTTTTTTAGTAGGATCTCCTGTTTACAGCTGCTTAGGACAAGGTAGCTGACTGCAGTTTCTTGGGGTAACCCCGTGACTGCCTCCCTCTTCCAAAGGGCACTTTCAGATTAAAACGGTGAGCTTCTGCGGTCAGCTTTGGGTGGGTCAGGAGGTCTGAACTTCGGTCCTCCTGGTTGTGTGGTGAGAGCTTTATCCTCTGAGCCGTCTCCCCAGCCCCCATGACAACTCTTTCTTTCGGGGTTGATATTAGGTGCCACAGGGTGTGAGCATAAGCCATACTACACTATAACTCACCTCTTCTTTAAGAAGAGATACGAGCACAATAGTGGATTCTAAGGAGTGCAGACTGATTTGTGTGTATATATTTCATATATTTTGCTTTACTATTTTTGCTCCATCATTCGTAAGTGATGTGAATTCTTCAGGGCGGAACAGAGGCCATTTTTCTTCCTCCTTTATCTCTAAGACTGGGGCATGTTTGATAGACAGCATCCTGGTTGTAGAACTGGGAAGTGGGTTTTTTTGTTTGTTTGTTTGTTTTTAAAACCTGGTTGTTTCTCTCAGCCCTCACCTCTAGGGCCAGTTTTAATCCCCCTCCTGTTGGCCTGCCTTGTACTTTTTTGCTTTAAATTCCCTCGAATTTGATCAGCTCTCATGTATTTTAGCGCTTCTCTCTCTTGTATCAGCTTTAAATTTAAAAGTCTTCTTGGCTCCTTGGGACTTTCCAGGGACGGGTCTGCATGTTTAACTTTGTATTTTTATAAAACAAACAAACAAACAAACAAACAAACAAACAAACGAAGCTCCCCACATAAAAATCCCCACAGGAAAAGATGCAAAAGCAAAACTCAAGTGTCTCCTGTCATACTTCACAGCCACCGTAGTGATCTGACTGCCACCAAGTTCCAGCAAACTATGGCAGAATGACCATGAGCATGCCCATCCTCTCGCTGGGCCTGCAGAGGAGCATGGGAAGATGCCATCTCTCAGTTAACCTGCTGTGGTCCATGTCTCCTGAGAGTCCCAATGCTGCCAGCTCGGTCATCAGTAGTGAAAGCCACAGAGATGCTTGGTGGAGAACCGTGGATGGTGATCCAGTCCTTGTTTGAGCTGAGGTCTTGGAAAGAATCTACAGTTCTCTTGGCATCGTGGTTCTCATGGGAGACGCTGAAGGGAGACCTGGTTAAAGCCTTGCATTGTGGGACCGACCTTACTGTCAGCTCTTGGGAGGCGAAGGCAGGCAGAGCACTGTGAGTTCAAGGCTAGCCTGGTCTACTTAGTGAGACTCTGTCATAAAAGAGAGAGAGAGAGAGAGAGAGAGAGAGAGAGAGAGAGAGAGAGAGAACTAGCTTGACCTTTTTCAGCTATTTAGCTTCCTAACCATGTGCTCTTCCCTCTCACAATTGCTTCTGCTGGAAGGCAACTGCAACCTAGCAAGTGGGCCATACCAGAGCTAGCACCATGCCCCCAGAACTGCGCTTCTCAACTGGTGACTTACCAACCTTTAGGGGTCAAACAACCCTTTCACAGATACCCTAGCATATCAAGTATTTGCATTATGACTCATACCAGTAACAGAATTATAGTTATGAAGTCGCAATAGAAATAACTTTATGGTTGGGGGGAGGGTGTCACCACAACATGAGGAACTGTATTAAAGGATCACAGCGCGAGGAAGGTTGAAAACCACTGCCTTCTGAATGTGTTAGACTCGGGCGTTTTATGACGCAGCAACAGAAAAATGGGCCAGCGTACTTGGTAGGAAAGAATAGAGGAGGGTTAACAGTTCTACTGGGAATGAGAAGCCTAGGTGTGACTAAGATGGCTGAAGCCTAGGTGTGACTAAGACAGCTGAAGCCTAGGTGTGACTAAGATGGCTGAAGCCTAGGTGTGACTAAGACAGCTGAAGCCTGGGTGTGACTAAGATGGCTGAAGCCTAGGTGTGACTAAGACAGCTGAAGCCTAACTGTGAAGAAGGCCGCTGAAGCTTAGGTGTGAACAAGACAGCTGAAGCCTAGGTGTGAATAAGACATTTCCCTGACAAGGAACTGAGGTCAGTTAGCGTTAACCCTTTTGATATAGAGGGTTCGAGGCACAGATTTAAAGTTTGAGATAAATTGAAAGCATGTGTTGGATCAAGCAACCACTTTTATGGCCCAAACACAGACGATCAATAGCCACACAGCCACCTGGGATATGGAGGTTTATTCATAGGAAACCGTAGGCAGCACTAAGTGTCTGCTGGCAGAAGAATAAGGGGTGTGGGATAAGGGGTGGGGGGCAGGGAGAGGATAACTGAGCAGAACAGGAAGCTATGCTGAGGATGACTGCACGATCTCAGCTTTCTCCCTGATGCACAATCGGAGCTCTGTTCCTCAGACAGCAGGACCCTTAGGCCGGTGTTTTCCCCACTGTAGGTTATGAAATCAGCTAGGATGAATGGATTAGGAAATCAGTTAGGGGATCATGGTCAGCATTTTTATGGGCTGACTTCCCCAGGAAGCAGACTTGGGGATGGTGCGGAGCGTTGAATGCTTGTCCAGGGGTACCCTTAGGACCGACACCTCCAGAGAGACAACAAACTGCACTAGCAGAGATACAGAACTGTGGTGCAGGGTCTGCCTATGCCCAGGAGGTGTCATGGCTCTTTGGATTTTGCCCCAATTGTGCCCAAGAGAGCCAGGTCTTTATCCTCTGTCATGGACTGAGTCGTGCCCCCAAATCTCTACGCTGAAGCCCCAGTACCTCAGCTTATACTACAAACCTTTACAGGGTGGGGCCCTCATCCCCAGAGATGGTGACCTTGTAGGAGACACACCGTCACCAGGAAGCACCCACAATAAAGGTCACGAGAGGACACAGTGAGAAGGCAGACTGCAAGCCCAGGAGGGGTGGAGAAACCCAAACCACTGACAACTTAACCTTCCTCTCAGCCGCAGAATCGTGAGCAAATAAAATGGTATTGTTTAAGGCAGTCCTGGAAAAGTAATACTTCCTTGATGGGGAACACCGCAGAAGAGTGGGTAAGGGAGCTGGGCGCTGGCTGAGGTGACCCTGGAGTGTCTGACACCGTCTCCCACCTGCCCTCACAGGCAGGATAATATGGCTCCTCACACAGCAGCCAGCAGCTCTGCTCCACGGGGTCCTTACAAGCTGTACAATACAGCTCCCCAGACTGCTCAGAGAACCCAGATACCTGCAGGAAAAGTCCTCACAGCCAGGACGATACAGCTTCCGCAAACCGCTCAACGTCCAGATTCACAACAGGCAGGAAAATCAAATACTGTTTCATGTGTGTGTGAGTGCTAATATTTAGAAATATATTTCACTGTAAAATGTTCTACAGTCACTTCCCCAAGCAAGAAACTGGGGAATATTTTTTTTTCTCTCCTGTAAAAACTGAACAGATCCTGGGAGGACACCAATGTTTTCTCCACCCCACAATGACACCTCGCATTCTATAAAGCCACATGACCACACAAGACCCCTCATCAACTGTTAACCCCGCCTCACAGATATGAGTTTAGTAAAGAGAAGACTCATGTGTTAAAACAATCCTAACGGCCAGGGGGAGCTATAGAAAATAGAAAAATGCTGTTTGCTCTTCAAAGCATTGCATTGCTAGGACTGAAGAGGCGGCTCAGTGGATTAAGAGCCCCGGATGCTCTTCCAGAGGACCAGGGTTCTGTTCCCACCACCCACGGGGTGATTCACAACTGTCTGTAGCTCCAGTTCCAGAGGATTCAATGCCCTCATCTGGCTTCTGCAGGCATCACACACCCGGTATCTCAGCCCTGGTATCTCCTGTTACCTATCCATCAAGATGTAGGACTCTCAACTTCAGCACCACCATGTCTGCCTGAATGCCATGTCCCACCATGATGATGACGGACTAAACCTCTGAACTGTCAGCTGCCACCCCAAGGAAACGCAGAGAATGAGAGACAGAGACAGTAGGCAGAGGGCCAGGGAGAAGGGGAAG